TTCTCCTTCAGCAAAATTAGTAGACTAGCTTTTAGCATATGGAAGCATTTTCACATTGCAAGTTCTGGTGGTGGGGGGAAGGAACAATTTGCAAATGCCATCAAATGAAATGTGCACTTTCAAATGAGGCTGATTAGACAGTTTCATGTGGCAAAAGTTGTATTCAGTAAGTCTCTTCCTTTTTTCAAGAAGGAAATGCTCAGATTTGCATTAATACAGCAGGGTGATCAAGGAAGGTGTCTTAAAAACATTGTAGATTTTCAGAAAAGCACTTTTATTTGAGTGTCCAGGACTGAAATTCAAATAGATTTAATTTTTATTTTAAACTCCTTTTAAAAATAGTAGTGGCGACAGGAACAAAGTAGAATAGGGCAGTGGCTAGAGAAAGCAACAGTCTTTTGAGAGCTACACTCAGATTTCTTCCTGACACTTTTTCATGTCTGCCTCTGCACCTCCTTCACACTGTCTCTCCTCCCACTTCTTTATATCTTTTACCTTTAAACTCACCAGGGAAGAAAAGTAGAATATGTATGGGAAGTATGGGATGAGTAAAGAAGAAAACTAAAAGATGCAACAGAGCTAATATCATCACACTGGCTTTATGAGCAGGCCCTTAGAAGTCATCTAGAGGAAGAAACACACAGGCTGGAGGGATTAACTGAGGTGTTATTCAATTGACATTCTTTATTTTCTCAAAGAAATATATTTATATATCATTACCTATAAGGATAAAAGGTAAGAACTAAGAGCTTTAGCCTTTTCACTTTCTTAATTTCTCTAATTCAAATATTCCAGTACTAAAGACAGGAATCTTGGCTGAAACCCCTACATACACAAATAAAAACTCTTTTTCGTATAACACCAGTACGTTAGCACAAGAAAACAAAAAATGTGAAAATAACAGCCCAAATCATAGACTGATATCATAAATCATCCTAAAACACAAACTTAATGAAATTTGAGATAGCTATAAGGAAAAGTCAAATGCTCCTCTTATTAAACTCTATGACCAAACATTCTACTTATGGCTTTAGGGGGAAAATAAGGAAGCAGTACAAAAAGGCACAGAAATAGAAAAAGCCATAAAAGAAAATACAAGGGAATACTGGTAGAAACTAATAATGTAAATATAATTCTATCTTATCAAGATCACAGAACTAAATTTAAACTGGTCGAAAGAACTGGAGCTTTAATTCCCATGGGCTCTCAGGCTTTGTTCTCTAGGGCTTGCACAAAGTGTGCCAAGAATATGATGGAACACAATTAACCATAACGTTATTTTTAGGCACTATTTGTACTTATATTTTGATTAATATCATTACCTGATTTTAACTCTTCTTGGTGAATAACAAGAAGAAGCTAACACAAAATTTCAATTATTGCCCTTTCTTTGTGAATCAAATCCATAAAACTTTCAAGAGGGAGAAGATAAAAGTAAATTCCTTATTCAACTTATCTTTGCCAAAGGGCTTGGCCAGGCCCATAGCTGAAGCAGGCTAAGGATCAGAGACCTTGAATTGCTTGCTACTTAATACCTGTTCTGCTCTAGGCAACTCTGAAAGTTTTGCTTTGATAGTTCAAGGCTAAAAGCCAATTCTGATAGTTGGCCAGAGGGAACTTTTTAAAATTAATCTCTTCATACAGCAATGTTTCTTCAGGAAAATAACAAAATGTAGTTTCCAACTGTCCTGCAGTCCCAGTTCATCCTCATGAACGTCTCTGGCAGTAAAAATTCATTCAAAAAGGATTTTTTACAGCTGAGTCAAGATTTCTAGATTTTCAATCAACCAGCATACATTCATAGCATACTACAATAAAGATACAAGAAGTAAAAGGATTTTGCTCTCAGAAAATTGGAATTCTAGTTGGAAAGACATATTCACCCACTTAAACTAATTAAAAATAAAGAAAGGTACTGTTTGGTACTGAGTGTTAATACAATGAGAATTCAAAGATTAAAAACTAGAGTTGAGCCAAGTAGAGTGGCTCACACCTATAATTCCAGCACATTGGGAGGCCAACATGGGAGGATCACTTGAGCCCAGGAGTTCAAGATCAGTCTGGGCAACACAGGGAGACCCCACTACTACAAAAATTTTTTAAAAACCATCTGGGCAAGGTAACATGCACCTGTGGTCCCAGCTACTCCAGAGGCTGAGGCAGGAGGGCTGTTTGAGCCCAGGAGGTCCAGGCTGCAGTAAGCTATAATCATGCCGCTGCACTCCAGCCTGGGCAACAGAGTGAGAGCTTGTCTCAAAAACAAACAACAACAACAAAAATTAAGCAAAAACAAAAACAAGTGGAGTGGGCCATAGATGTCTAAATTGTGTTTATGAAAGAAGTGGAGGGAACATAAAGAGATTTCAGTAAAGAACAAGAATCAGTAAGATTTGAAAAAGCAAGTAATATAAGCATTACAGGTGAGAGAATAAAGCATTAATAAAGGTAAGAAAGTAAAATTGAACATGGTATTAGGGATGGGGGATAAGGTTTGGTCTGTTAAATCACGTTTACCCTACAGCTGCCTTCTTACATATTTTCAGTTCAGCCTAAAGGTTTCTCTATACGATGTGAACTATAATCTAAAAGGATGTATAAACAGAATGTAACCTGCCCTTGTGGCAATCACTGAGTTTGGGACAAAGGGTGCCAACTGTTCAAATCATGTTCAGATAAGGCAAATGTGCAGCTATAACAAATCCAGCTGTTTCTTGTACCTCACTTCTGTACTTCCGTATGTCACTTTCCTTTTTCTGTCCATCAATCTTTCAGTACATAGCTGCACTGGAGTCTCTCTGAGCCTACTCTGGTTCAAGAAGCTGCCCAATTTGTTCAATTAAACTCTGTTAAATTTAATTTGGTTAAGGGTTTTCTTTTAACAGATCTAAGGTGTAAACAACCAGTTTAAGTAAAATAGGTATGTTTGTTAAGGTTTATGGTTGAATAAGTATGGTGAGGCTGGTTTATGGAAGGCTTTGAATGCCAAAGAAACCAATAAAAACTTGATTAGGCCAATGAGAATCACAACTGGTCATTACTAAGGGAAGCAGATGCATAAATTTCTTTTGAAAGGGTGGTTTTACAAACAGCATGCAGGTAAGGATTGGAAGCCAGCAAAACAGATGATGGAGCCTGTTAGGTGCAAAGTGATAAGAACCTGAACTTGCATAACAGCATTCATTTGTGCACCATTCAATAATATTTATTGAATGTCTGAATGTTCATCATTCACATGTGAACAAGACAGATATGATATTACTAGCCCACAGAAACCATTAGGTAACAAATGTTCATTGTTGTAAGTTGCTAAGTTTTAGGGTAATTTGTTATGGCAATAGATAACTAATACAGATGTGAAAACAGTAAAGGAAATACCAAATAAGGTCAGAAAAGCAGGAGAGAAACCAAAAAAGCATACTACCATTGAAGACCAAAAATTAAAAGTTTCAATGTATAGTAGACTGGTAGTCAGTATCAGATATAAAAGAGGAAAACCACCATGGCACGTGTGTACCTATGTAATAAACCTGCACGTTCTGCACATGTATCCCAGAACTTAAAGTATAATTTTTTAAAAAAAAGATATATATAGGATGATGAACATTTTTTAAAATGTTATTAAAGTTGATATAGTTCACAACTAACTAAAAGTTACAAGAGATATACAAGTACTTACCATAATTGATGACCAAATTTTTTTTTCCTTAAAAAGAGAATGAGTAGGGAAAAAGTGTACACAGCTGATAAGCACCTCAATGTAAACAATTTATATTCCTACGTCTATATTAACTGATATAGTATAAGTCTCATGTATGGTAGTGAGTTTAAACAAAAACTTCCCTTCTGTTTTGATCTAATACCCTAACTTTAGGCCTATACTCTCCTTACAACAAAAGAAGCAGCTTTGAATTTATTCAAATCTTTATTCTATCACCTGCCATATGGTGCTATAAATGATTTACATATTCCCTATCCTAACTACATTATAAGTTCCTCCAAAGTAGGAACCTTTAGTTTATTCATATTTGAAATATGAGTACATAGACCAATATCTAGCCCATAAAAGATACTCAGTTGCTAATTGAAAGTTACTGTATTTAGTAAAAACACAAGGGATTTCTAAACATATTCACGTACCAGCTATCATTTTTGAGGTATTAGGAGTTTTCTACCATTTCTGTCTCTGCTCAATAGTATCTCTCCATTGTAATTCCCTAAAATTTAGCCTTGTCCCATTTGTCTACCTTAGAACACTAGTCAAGGTCCTTCTGCAAGACTTTCATGAGTTTCAAGGTCTTCACTTCTGCTGTATTTAATATTCAATCCTAACAGTTATAATACAAACTTTCATTTCAATTATATTGAACTGAACAGTCCTGAATCCATATTCTTTCATGTTTTTCTCCCCAGATCATCCCAAATTTTGACTTGGAATGTCAAAATATTTATTTGAATCTAAAATTCCATATTCCCTTGTGTACACAAGTTGATAATTGCCTGAAAAAAGTCATTAAGTGGCTATATTTAGAAGAAACTTAAGTAGAAACATAAGAAATAAGAAAATGAGGTGAAGTTATAAAACTTAACATTTAAAATAAACACTGGATGCTTAATTTTTAAATGTCCATTTGTGAAACAACTAAATATTCAATTATTAAAATGGTCCTGATATACCAAATTAATCTAAAACTTTGCCACTTAAAATATAAATAGGCTACTACTGATCTTAAAGAGCTGTAATCAGGACAAATTCTTACACTGAAAATGTTTGTGGGCATTTACTCAGAACAGCTGCCACCCAGGATGACTTTTTAAAATAACACAAATTAGATTTAATTGAGTTAAAGGACCACACCAGGTTTGTAATTCAATTTGTCCTATGTGGTTTGGATTTGGGTTTTCTTTTTCCCCTCCAGCAAACCACAGTTTGAAAACTACATCAAATGGGAAGTACAAAGGAATAGAAATATATAATGCAAATGTTTATCATGAACAATTTACATAAAATCCACTTTAACAGTTTAAACCAAGTTTGTGTGTCTGTGTATGTTTTATGTGTGATGGCAGCAAACACTTGTTTGAATTTCCTTTGAGGGTCCTATTCACTAATACTTCTTGCTGCCAATTTCTCATTTTATCACAATTTAACCTAGCTGTAAAGTAAATTTTATTTTGATCTAATTTCCTAACTTTGCACACTATTTACCTAGAAGTACAAAGCAGAATCCAGCTTGAATTCAAGCTCACTTATAGACTTTAGTCCAAAATCCTTTCATTAATGAAAGTCAAGGGTAGAGCCAGAATTTTGACTAGAATGTACCTTTCAGCAGCCTTAGATACGGTTGATTATAAGTTGCGGATAGATATGGCTGATTACATTGTCATCACTGTGTTAATTTTGATTTCTATATGTCTAGCCAGCATAGACCTGCCCCTAGAAGAATGTTTAGATAAGATGTCCTGAAAATAACCAATCCCTACCCTTGTTGGGATCTACTCATATAAGAGAATGATCACTGAAGGATGTTTAGGAAAGAGTTCAGCTTAGAAATTTAGCGTTGCTTCTCACCATGCCCTTTCCATTAGAATTCATGGGTTTGAAGCAAAATTTGAGATAATGAGTTTTCCAAATGAGTATTTTGTTCAAGCACCTCTCAATGCATGACACGATAATAGTTCCACATAAACCCAAAGGATCTGATGTAATTAACAGGCTTCATTTCAGAAAATCTTGTTTAACAAGATTTCTCTGATAATTACAGGTTAGGCAGACCACAGCAATAGGACTGTGTATCAACCTGATAACCAATCAAAAATCAAACTTACCCTCTTTTAATATTGATTACGTAGAAAGTATTTGAATTCTTGCCATATGTAGAAGTCACTTTTCTCTGTGTAGATAATGTATGAAACTATTATTGAGGCAAACTCTTGCCTCTGCATTTTTTACTTTGGCAGATACAGACATGAAAGGCACCTGGCCTAATAATTCTTCCTTGTATAACATTCCAGGACATACCATGAGCCTATCCCCTCTAAAGTCTAGGCCCATCCCAGCTTTCCTAAGACTTTAAAACCACACCCAAGAAACTTAAGCTTCTTACGTTGTTCAGATAGTATAGCTGTCAATCATGTCAAATAAAGAGGGAAAATGGCTTTTTAGAAATCATATCTTATTTAACAATATTGATGTCAAGGAGACAGAATTTTTTTTCTAAACTAAGAGAACTAGCTACTCATCTGTCTTCTCCCTGTTATCTGACACGACCTGAGGTATGCCATAAATCTTCCTAAGAGACAAGACAGAGAAGTACTACTGGTTAATTACAGGGGTCTCCTGAATAAACCAGATGCTGAGTACAAGATGGTTAAGATTGTTGCCAGTCAGAACACGCACAAGGCACTCAAATGATTTTGGATGCCAAATTCTTGTTTTTGTTTCTCCCCAAAAATGTGGTAACATTTGTGTTACAGGTAGAAGAATGTACTACTGTGGCAATGCTAGCTTCTATCTTAAATTCATTCACAGTGAAAGCCGTATCTATACTTTAAAGCTTTGCCTCAATAAATCTAAAACTATATAGCCATTATCATTTTACAGATGGGAAAATTAAGGCATAGCAGAGTGGTGTGACTCATCAAAGGGCAAATATTAAGATTGTGCTTACATACCAGTTGCAGAATAAACGTCCAACTATTCCCTGAGGGAGGATGAACTAAGCAGTAATATAACACACAACAGTCACAAAGAATAAAAAATGTCCAAGAGGAAGTCTGGAATACATCAAGAACTACGTATTCTTCAAGACTGGGCTCAAATTCTATATTTTATAGTTCATTCCATCTTTCCATTTTCCAGATTTTCTAAACTACTATTAAACTGTCTTTAATAGTAATTTACTTCTAAGTACAAAGCTGCAATTCAGTTTACTTTCGCAGACAAGGAAATGAAAAATAACAGATACAAAGCAAGTCAGTGGTATCCTCTCTAATTTCTCTTCTTGGTTACTTGACTAATTTGAATTATAAAGTTTAAGAGAAATTTTAAAAGTAACCTTTTTTTTTAACCTGCAAAGCCACATTCCAAGACCAACTCTCAAATGTGCAGATAGAAAACATAGTCTACTAGTACAAGAAGTGTAACAAATTTAAATTTAGAACTAGCCAAGCACAAGTAATCTTTTTAAATTCATATGAAACTGCTGAATAAGGAAACAGACCTTTCCTTACAATATCAATCCAAAATGCTTTGCCTCAGCTGAGCCTGGTCTGAAGCCCTCCAGAGCAATTTACCTACTGAGCTATAAATATGAACAGTTCATTTCAGTACAGGTTATACTTAGAACAAGTTTCATATGTGTTTATAAATACTTTAGGAATAGTTTTAAAATTATAATCTTTAATAGTTTTAACATCATAACAGAATAGTCCACAGATGTAGAAAGTATACAGCAAACACTGCTGAACTTGCGGCAATCAAGTGTTAGTTTTGTTCACCAGTTGGATACTAAGCTTTGAAAGAATTATCATAACACTTGGGGTGACATCATTTTGAAAAGTATGCTGAGAAAACAGTAAATTTCTTTAAACTGTTCTCTCAAGTATCTCCTTTGTCTAAATTGTTCTTCCTTTAAAGAGGAAAAATTACTGCTGTTCTGCATCAACAAAAAGAACAAGAGTGACTTTTCACAGAGGCTAAAATCTGTTACATGTTTTCCTAACAAACAGCAACCAATCACAAGAAGGAAAGAGTGGAATTTAGAATGAGAATCTAACAGGATAACATCACAAAAAGTGTTAGAATTCAAGTAAAGTGGCAAATTTTACACACGACTTTCCATTCCAAGGTTTATCAGGATGACAGAACTCAGAGAATATTTGAATAAACATAAAAATAAAAATATACCTTAAGGAAAAAAAACTAAAAGGTAGGCCACTCACTTCTATAAAGGCAAATGACTAAAAACATTAGAATCAGAAAGAGCTAGATTCACCATGGAGGGGCCCCTACAACTTACAGACCTTTGCTTTTATGTAAGTTTTTAGCACTGTTCTACCTAACATGGAACACTTTTTGCTGGCCTAAAAGAAATAATAAACAAATTCTAAATGACCTACTCTAGGTACTTCTCTAACTTTGAAGAACTTCCTTAAATATGAAATAACCACCCTACTGCTACCATTAATTTGTATCTTTTTTTTTTTTTTTTTAAATGCTGACCCTGTTTATTCGGCAGGAAAACTCCACCAGCCCAGGAGGGGACAGGTGGGTTTAATCCTCCTCCTCATCATCTCTAGCTCCAGCCCCGCCCTGACCCTTCTTGGCATTCTTCCTCTCCACGCGGCGGGGGAGGCCACCCCCGTAGGGAGAGCGGAGGGAGAAGTCCATGTGCTTTTGGGAATCCAGGCGGACAATGAAGGACGGGAGGTTCACCACCTGCTTGCGGACCTGATATGGCACTGGCGCATCAGCACGTGAGTGTGGTGGAAGGACTTAGCCAAGCCCAGCTTGAAGACCTGGGTCTGCAGGCGTCTAAGAAATCCTCAATCTTCAGGCCCAGGATGTAATCCAGCTTCATCTTGCGCTCATCCAGCACTCCAATGCCGACCACCCGCCGCAGCAGGGCGTTGCCTTCCAACAGACGCCGTGGGTCCTTCTCGTCAAGCGTCAGCATCTCCTGCGCGGCCTTGTGGATCTTGGCCAGGGTAAATTTGACCCTCCAGACCTCACGTTTGTTCCGGAGCCCATACTCGCTGATCAGCTTCAGCTGTTGGTCCAAATGAGATTTCTCGAAGAGTCTCCGCGGAGTCACATAAGTTTTGCAACAAACCCAGCTCTGGGCCACCGGCATTCTGGCTCCGCTTACCGGTCTGCACCTAAGCACAGGACCCGGTCATTAAGAAACAGCAATTGGCCGGGCGCGGTGGCTCAAGCCTGTAATCCCAGCACTTTGGGAGGCCGAGGCGGGTGGATCACCAGGTCAAGAGATCGAGACCATCCTGGTCAACATGGTGAAACCCCGTCTCTACTGAAAATACAAAAAATTAGCTGGGCATGGTGGTGCGTGCCTGTAATCCCAGCTACTCAGGAGGCTGAGGCAGGAGAATCGCCTGAACCCAGCAGGCGGAGGTTGCGGTGAGCCGAGATCACGCCATTGCACTCCAGCCTGGGTAACAAGAGTGAAACTCCGTCTCAAAAAAAAAACAGCAATTTGTGTAGTATCTTTATTGAGCAGCACAAAATAACTGGCAGTGGTTATCTTTATTATTTCACAAAACATCCCTGGGTAAGAGTCAGAAATAATCTACCACGTTAAAGATGGGAAAATTTAAGAGCAAAGCATGACCTGCAATCACAAAGTGAGACGGTTATGAGACGGACTAATTCCCCAATTCCTGACTGCCAACCTCTTGTTCCTGGTATATGACGGTACCTCTTAAATATCTGAAAATTCAAAAGCATAAAGTGCAAACATCTTGCAAGTATTTTATCCAAAGCTCCCATTCACTTTGACTCAGTCCTACGTTTCTTAGTTTTATACAGTAAAAAAAATTTCAAATACTAGTGGTCTAAATTGATTGTCTATAGTTTTGTGGTTATAATGTTTGGCAGTTATCAAATACTTTTGGAGGTTTACTTTGAACATTAATTGATCATTATAAATATCCTTCAAGGAAAAGTGATAAGTAGCAGCATAAGTTTTATCTATATAAATATTATTTATTTACAGTCCTAATTAAGTATAACCTAAATCAAGCACAGAAAGGTTCTTAGTTTATCAGAATGTATCCTCTGAAAATAAATTAATTACATAATAGAATGCTAGAGCTGTAAAAGCCCTCAAAGTCACCTAATTTTATGTGTTTCAAATTTGCTTCTTTAATTTGGAAATTTAAATTAAGTGTTAAACAGAAGCAATGAAGGGAGGACTTAGGCATATGGAAAAGAGAAAACCAGATATATACACAGCAAAGAGTCCTGGTTACATTTAATTCCCATCAATGTAGTAATTGGGTGGAAGTGGGTTAAGGAGAAAGAAAGGGGAGACAGTGTTAATGCTAGTGAAGTCCTCTGAACTGGGTCCAACAAGTATTTCTAAGACAGTCTAATTTTTAAGGATAACACTCCTCCCAAAACCAACAATTGCAACTTTCTTTACATTTAATCAGAACCAATAATTGGTTACTGATATGGTTTGGTTCTGTGTCTCCCACCCAAATCTCATCTTGAATTATACTCCCATAATTCCCACGTGTTGTGGGAGGGTCCCAGTGGGAGATAGTTTGAATCATGTGGGCAATTTTCCCCACACTGTTCTCGTGATAATGAATAAGTCTCACAAGCGCTTATGGCTTTATCAGGTGTTTTGGCCTTTGCATACTCCTCCATTTTTTCTCTTGGCACTGGCATGTAAGAAGTGCCTTTCACCTCCCACCAGGATTCCAAAGCTCCCTAGCCACAGGGAACTGGAAGTCCAATTAACCCTCTTTTTCTTCCCAGTCTGGGGTATGCCTTTATCAGCTGCGTGAAAACGAACTAATACAGTAAATTGGTACCAGTAGAGTAGAGTGTAGCTGAAAATGTGGAAGTGACTTTGGAACTTGGTAACAGACAGAGGTTAGAACAGTTTGAGGGGCTCAGAAGAAGACGGGAAGACAAGAAAATATGGGAAGGTTTGGAACTTCCTAGAGACTTGTTGAATGGCTTTGACAAACTGCTGATAGCGATATAAACAATAAGGTACAGGCTGAGGTGGTCTCAGATGAAGATGAAGAAGATTGCTGGAACTGGAGCAAAGGTAATTCTTATTATGTTTTAGCAAAAAGACGGCAGCATTTTGTCCCTGCCCTAGAGATTTGTGGAACTTTGAACTTGAGAGAGATGATTTAGAGTATTTGGTGGAAGAAATTTCTAAGCAGCAAAGCATTCAAAAGGTGACTTGGGCACTGTTAAAAGCATTCCATTTTAAAAAGGAAACAGCATAAAAGTTCAGAAAATTTGCAGCCTGACGATGCAGTAGAAAAGAAAAAACCCCCATTTTGAGGGGAGAAATTCAAGCTGGCTGCAGAAATTTGCACAAGAAGGAGCCGAATGCTAATCCCAAAGACAATGAGGAAAATATCCCCGGGGCAGATCATAGGTCTTCATGGCAGCCCCTACTATCACAGACCCAGAAGCCTAAGAGGAGAAAATGGTTTCGTGGGCTGGGCCCAGGGTCCCCATGCTATGTGCAGCCTAGGGACTTAGTGCCCTGCATCCCCACTGCTCCAGCAATTGCTAAAAGGGGTCAAGGTATAGCTTGGCCCATGGTTTCAGAGGGTGCAAGCCCCAAACCTTGCCAACTTCCACATAGTGTTGAACCTGCAGGTGCACAGAAGTCAAGAACTGAGGTTTGGGAACCTCCGCCTAGATTTCAGAAGAAGTATGGAAATGCCTGGATGCCCAGGCAGAAGTTTGCTGCAGGGACAGGGCCCTCATGGAGAATCTCTGCTAGGGCAGTGTGGAAAGGAAATGTGGGGCTGGAGTCCCCACACAGAGTCCCTTCTGGGGCACTGTCTAGTGGAGCTGTGAGAAGAAGAGTCACCATCCTCCAGACCCCAGAATGGTAGATACACTGACAGGTTTCACCATGTACCTGGAAAAGCCTCAGACACTCAACACCAGCCTGTGAAAGCAGCCAGGAAGCTATACCCTGCAAAGCCACAGGGGCAGAGCTGCCCAAGACTATGGGAATCTACCTCTTTATCTGCGTGACCTGAATATAAGAAATGGAGTCAAAGGAGATCATTTTGGAGCTTTAAACTGCCCCACTGGATTTCAGACTTGCATGTGTCCTGTAACCCCTTTGTTTTGGCCAATGTCTCCCATCTGGAATGGCTGTATTTACCCAATGCCTGTACCCTCATTGTATCTAGGAAATAACTAGCTTGCTTTTGATTTTATAGTCTCACGGATGAAAGGGACTTGCCTTGTCTCGTATGAGACTTTGGACTGTGGACTTTTGAGCTAATGCTGAAATGACTTAAGACTTTCGGGGACTGTTGGGAAGGCATGATTGGTTTTGAAATGTGAGGACATGAGATTTGGGAGGGGCCAGGGGCAGAATGATATGGTTTGGGTCGGTGTCCCCACCCAAATCTCATCTTGAATTGTACTCCCATAATTCTTACTTGTTGTGGGAGGGACCCGGTGGAAGATAGTTTGAATCATGGGGGCAGTATCCCCCATACTGTTTTCTTGGTAGTGAATAAGTCTCACAAGATCTGATGGTTTTATCAGGGGTTTCCACTTTTGCATTCTCCTTTTTCCTCTTGCTGCCACCATGTAAGAAGTATCTTTTGTCTTCCACCATGATTCTGAGGCCTCCTCAGCCCCATGGAACTGTAAGTCCAATTAAACCTCTTTTTCTTCCCAGTCTCAGGTATGTCTCCATCAGCTGCATGAAAACAGACTAATACAGTTACTAAAATTTTTTTCTCTTCTAATTGTCCATATCAGATTGCTATGAGAAGAGGAAAGGGTTAAGCTAGCCCTAAAGATAATACTGTATGTGAGAAGCTGAAAAACCTGTGATAAATTATGTCTACATACTAATAGGAAAAGATATCCAAGATCTACTGCAGAGTCAAAAAAGTAAGTTTGTAGACTGAGAGGCAGAGTAAGTATGATACTAATTCTGTGAGGAAAGCAAACACACACACACACACACACACACACACACACACACACACACACACACAGCAATACTACATGTCATAAGCCCATTTACCTATCCATAACATGTATCTCTAACCCAGTGCATAGAAAAAGATCTGAAGGAACAGAAAACCAAACTGAAAATGCTTGTCATTTTCTGGCATTGGTAGGTAGGCAGCTGGGATTGGGAATGACAGTGGTAAGCGAATGTCAGAGTATTCCAAACATTCCAAATGTTTTGAAAATAATATGTTAATATATTATTTAATAAGAACTAATTTTAAAAAAGAATCAGATGTGGATAAAAAGGACAAAATTAAGCAGGAATATGCAATGGTTAGGGAGAAGCATGACTAGGCACAGCATGAGAAGCCTCTGCTTCATCAGTAACTTAAGGTAAAGAGCTGCTATTTTCCTTCATTCAATTTACTCCTTAAACCCATCATCTCTGGCTCTATCCTGGTGATTTTTTAAAAGCACCAATGTGAATGTGAAGGCTCATGGTCCTATGAGTTTCTAACCATTCTTTACTCCTTTGGAACATGAGATAAGGTAAGAGTAGTTGGTAGATGAGGGTAATGAGTTTTCTTTTAATTCTTGAAACTAACTACTATACCAGAAATCTGCTGTGGTTATTTTTCTCTATCCTTTAGCTATAAAAGTAAGTGCTAGCTTTTGGCTGTATAAATAGGAGGGAGGCATTCATTTCAAACTGTTACAAACCAGTTTCATCACTGCTATAACTCCAGTACCTTTTGGAATCAAGTCCTTCTTCCTGGTTTGCCCAAGAGAAATTAGTCTGCAGCCACTAATCTGAAATCTGCTCTAATGGTGGTCCTACTGCTAGGTCTATGCATATGGTTTATTTCTTTTGTCAAGAGAACTCTTTATAAAATCTTGGCTTCCTCAGTTCCTCCATACAAACAGGAGTTTGTCAGAGAAGAGTGTTCTGCATGTATGGGGCAAGGAAAGACATGATCAAAAGCACAAGTATACAGCAAGCTCAGGGAATTATGAGGAAGCTGGTGGGACTAGAATAAATGCATATGTATGTCTGGCAACGGGGAGTGGGAGAAAGGGAAATTACGGCAGACAATGAGATGAGAATAAGTAGATCAGAGCCAGACTCTGAAACCCTGGCATGACAAGCTAAGGAATTTAGACTTTATCCTTTGCGTGTTAATGGGGACCCATCAAAGGTTTTTAAACCAGAGGATGATATAT